TAGGCGATTTGCTCAGAGATAGGAAGTTGCAGCATGATTTTAAGACTGTCATAACGGAGTCTTAAATCTTTTCAGTCCTTTGAGGCGTATGGTCCACATGTTGCTTGACAAACCCTCACCTACTCAATGGTGGAATTCTTTCACAAGGTTTTTGTTCGTATTATAGATTTCTGTTTGTTTCACGGCGTGCTCACGACTTACAGTACAAATTGATGTGATTATATCATTTTTTTATTGCATGAGCATGAAACCGCAATTGATCCCTGGACTCTTGCCTGGTTACCTATGGTTCCATACATCTTTTAAAAATAATTTATGTTTTAAAATTTTGTGTGTATCAAGGATAATCATAGGATAGTATTTTGAATATTACTATTCCATTACATGGTGTTCTAATATACATACATACATGAATTTTTGTCCTACTAAAAATTCCAATGAATCTTTGGAGTTATCACGAATAATAATTATTAAAATTTCAGACATATAAATCAGTTTGGACTCGTGCAAGGGGATTCCATTGTCTGGTGGAAAGCTGGCCTTGGAATTGCTGTTGCCACTGTCGCGGGCTTCGTGGTGCTGCGTGTGTTAAACACAGAGAAAAGATAGTCTATCATATCCATTTTCTTGCACATTTAACTGCCTCCTTTAACCGAGTATAAAACCGACTTTGAAAAACGCGTTAAGTTAATAAACTATGTTCTTAAATCATTAATTTTTTATATATCTTTCAGAAGTTAATATTCTTTTTTACCTTTCTGGTTTTTTTTTCAGTGTATTCAGTTTGTCAATACTTTCACGTTGTTTATATTCGTTCTGATATTTCATCCGCATATAGCGGGAATATTCGCAAGTATCAAAGACTTGATTCTTTGAAAGTACATTGAAGATTCTTTTATCACAGAATTGACTTTTGGCGAAGTTAAGTATTTCATACTCCTCAAAATCTTACTATTAATTATTTATTCCTTGAATGTTATGATAAGTTAAATTCAACAGAAAAATAAATCTTTTGCACATTGGTACTTGTCATAACAGTAACAATTATCCCTGCTGTTGTGTTTGCAACAGTCTAATGGATACTGCATCATTTACAATATCTCGTAAGCTGGAGCTTTTTGCTTAGTTTCAAGAATCATAAGAAACGGAGGTAATGACCAAGAATAGAATAATCATCACATTTCTAATACAGAAATCATTTATTACAATACTTCTAGAACATACTTCCCCGTTTAAATAAATATTCCACGTTCTTTGCATGATTGCACAGTTGGAACATCAAGCTTGAATTTTTCAATTTAAGGAGAATATGTGAAAAGAGCGTAACATAAATGAATCTCATATTGGATACAACTATAATGATTTATTTATTTGTATATTCCAATGTTCATAGTTGCATAATATATATAAAGAAGAGTGAACATCATACTTTTAATACAATAGATCTAAAATTTTCGAACTATATAATTCATATAGCATTTATTCGGTAAATTTGTATACTATAATCACCTTCTACTAGAAATTTTTCTGAAAATACTTGCTTACACCATATCTGAAACAAAAAGGACCATCATATTAATATTCCACCCTACTATGAAGATTACAATAATGATCCACAAAGAAGTTCCTTACTGTGGGAGGATTTGCATTGGCGAAGAGCTTCATTGAATCCTTCACACAAAGTGAGGTCGGACTGATTTTGAGCACACTCTAGGAACTGCTTTACTTCCCATGCACAGGCACCACCAGCAGGTGCAGAAGCAGCCGGTGCACTTGCTGCTGCTGGTGCTGGTGCAGCATCAACAGCCTCTCTGGAGCCACCACCACTGAACATGCCAGTGATAGCATGACCAACAGCAGATCCAATGGCTACACCTCCAGCAGTAGCGGCCATTTGTCCCATGAGGGATGGCTGTTGGGGTTGGGCAACCATGGGCGTCGATGGGGCTACATTTGCTGGAGGATGAGCTGCCGCGGCAGGAGCTGCTGCACGGGCTGGTCTAACTCTGTAATAACATGGAAACTCATCTAACATTTGAAAAGGAACCTTGAACAACAGGAAGTTTATTACCGACGGCGTCACGTTGGTAACAAAGAACGTGGTACATCGACGCATGTAATTCATTTAAAAAAGAATATAGGAACGATTGAAAAATGAAGAAATACTTACGTCCTTGCAGGAGCAGATGCACGTCCTCGTCGAGGCATATTTTTTGCTTTTTTAAATTACGCTTGAAGTATCGCAAAACACGTCAACTCTCTTGCACGTTTCTTCTCAGACTGCGACTGAATTGTTAATTTCTCAATCGTTACGCAAGCCCAGCTTCTGCGCATTGGACAAGCTGACTAGAATTTTCTAGAAATGGAACAGGAAACCAACATCTGCGCAATTGAACTACACTTCAGACCATTCGGAAGTTAATGAAAATTCAACGAAATAATCATTAAATCATGAATATAAACCGGAAATTTTTAATTTTATTAAATCTTTCTCTTACAAATATTTATCGGAATAACCAGCAAAATTTAATCTGTTCCTATTATTAGTTACTTGACTACACAATGTATAAATGATCAAGTTGGCAAACGTGTTAGTCGTGTATCATCAATAATGGAAAACTTATAGGTATACATGGTAACAAGAAATAACTTTTAAGTATCAGAAAAATATATTAATATTTTAATGCAATACCATTTTACGTTTTAGAAATACTTGCTTCCAACGTGGAAATTTTCTGTTGATTTTAAGAACATGATGTTGCAAATGTTTCATATATTATTACATGACTTTATGCAAAATATTCTGTTTATAGACGATTACTCATAGAAATGCTTAATTCGTTTCTAGAATAGTGTTTACTACAGCTTGTCTATGATTAATATATATTATATATTTAACACAATATCAGAAGCAAAAGCAACGAGTACCTGATTTTTCATCATGTTATGAAACGCTATTATTAAACCTTAGAGGTTAATGAATACATATGTATAAGGATTCCCTTCGAACTATATTGGTTCTTCTAAGATTATCCTGTATTGAAATCATTATTTAATAAAGAAGTTTGACTCATGTATGTCTCATTATTTCTCGAAATTTAAAGGTACAAATTTGTTTTAGTTTCTGTCCAAGTCAGCCTACTTTTCATGCTGCAAAATGATGCTCCAGAATGAAATCTTAAGTGTAGATGGAAAACGAGAAAGTCACGCTAATTTCATCCGAATTTATGTAATAGTTACAGATGGTAACACTCGAGCACCGAACAAGATTATTTGCAACGTACACCAGATGGCGGCAAATACTCTGCATGCGGATTAAAGACAGGATCAGTAAACCTATGAGAAAAAATATCCAAAGAGCAATTTACCTTAGTTGAAATAAATAATGATATTACAGATCAAAAAGTAATTCACATATTGTAAAGTTCTTTTATTTTGTACTGCTCCTGTGTAATTTAACTTAATGATGCTTAATTATCTGTGTTCAATTATCTCTTAACCGTTATTACAGATCCAGTTCGGTGTACTTCGGTGCACTGTTAACAATATCAAATAGACGTAATTTTCATCATCAGACGTGAATTTTTCTTAACGACATTTCGAGTTAGATTTCAATTGTTTAATATCTTTTAATCAATTGCTATCTACACTTTCGTACATTTACGTCGATTTTATTAAATTCAATGTCATTTCATGTTTCAGTCTCATTACCGATCTTCGATCGCAATGAGACCAGCATTACCACGCTTTTCAACGCCATGACAGTTGACGATCACTTTAAATGAAACAAATTAATTAATAAAATTCGTGTTTCTATACTAAATAATACTATATCCTTAGCGTCTTAACTGATAAAGGTTATATTACAGCTAGAAACAGCTGGATGGACTCAGAAAATTTGTAAATCAACTTTGAAACGAATAGGGCACCGAAATTATTCTCCTCTTTTACATTTAGGGACAGTGACCTAGTGACCTGCGAACTGCGTGCGGCTACCTCCCCTACTTTCCTGTTTCTCCGAGGCATAACAGTCCCCTCCATACTTATCTACTTGGTCCCACTAACCCGTCGCTCTATCCTTGTCATTTCTCATCCGTCAACTGTCATATTAGCAATCATCAAGAGTTCATACAGTGTAGTAACAATAAGACAACACGTACACGTCATTGTTTCACAAAGAAGATTTACACGTGACGTTAATAAATTCAAAGTTTTTCAAATAAACGAATCACGACAAAACTGATATTCCCAAAATGACCCATTCCATTTCATGTTTCCCATTTATTCAACAAACAGACGCTTTTCTGAAAAACCATTAGAGAAACTGATTTAGCCATACACAAACTGAATTGCAACCCAACTAAAGTCTAAATAATTGCACTGTCGAGGTTTCTACAGAACAATTTCAAAAAGACAATTCAACTACCCAGTAATTCTAGTGTCAAGCATCTTTAACCCTTTCAATATTAAATTCAATATTAAATTTTTCTATAATGAAAACTCGAGAATATTTCTTGAGAAAAATATTCTCGAGTGCAAAGGGTTAACACGTCGAATGGGGGTCACCGGTGAGCCCCAAATCGAATTACTATAGTTCACTCAATGAAACGATTTGAAAACATTTGTATATCATAGTGTTACCTAATGCGATGATATTCAGCCAGATGAACACTCAATAATAATAATAATAACAATAAAATTAATTCAAACGATCGAATATTATATTTCCTCCGTTTCGCGTAGTTTGCTCTACGAAATCGTGCGGCATTCAACGGCGTTAACCATTCTATACTTTGTCCCGCCGAAACGGTCGGCTCTCGCCTCTATATTACCGTGTGTGCTAATGTCGGCTAAGAGAGTCGTGGTGGTGGCCAGTCAGCTGACTAGTGGGAGAACCGGCTAAACGATGGTGGGGATCTCGCGACTCCTGGCGGAGAAGAAGTTCGTCACGCCTGCATTATATTATAAACAAAGAGGCGTGACACCGATGCATCGGCACTGCCGTCATCACCGCAATCGGGGAATAAACGTGAATTTAACGCGACGGCGGCTGGATCGAGGGAAAACGAGGCGGCCGCGGAAACGTAAACACAGTTCGCCGAGGAATGACCGTGCGCCCGCTGACGGAGGAGTATCGACCAAGCATCGACTTTGATCGGCTGGAGATCGAGTTGTTGGATCATCCGTTCGACGGTGAGTGCGATTGTTTCTGTATCGAACGACAGACACGTGGATCGACGAGTGCTCCCGATGCGAGAGTCGATACCAGAGTACACGTTCCCGCGGACGACTTCGCGCGAGAAAAAATCTCGAATGAAATCACGGTGCTAAATGTAGGTGCTGACGCGTGTAAACAGCCGCGAGTCTTACGGACGATTTTCGTGTATGTTTCGAGGTGTCTTTTAACATCGTTGAATCGGATGCTGTCAGTATCACAACAGGAGACTGATGTAATATCGGACGGCCACGACGAAACGTCGACGGTGAGAGGTGAACGGGGCTTCCACGGTTCGAGATCGAACCGCTCGATAATCGAACACCGAAGAGCATCGGGATTCGTCGGGGAATAACCTCTATATTGCTAGAGCACAGGGTGTCGAGGCACGTGTCACGCTCATGCGTGCGTGTTTACGTTCCTCCGATTAAAGTCCGCCAGTTCGTCGGGAGAATGGCGCGAAAACCATTGTGTCCGGACGCCGCCGGCTCTTTGTCGGTGGTTTCTTCTTCCGTTGACGTATGTCGACGCCACGCGCCACCCCTACGTCGCAACCGCCCAAAATTATTCTTCTCGGTAGACGCGAGACGCAGCTTCGGACCCCGACCGCGGAATTGCGCACTTCTACCGTGGCACCGTGCCAATTTCAAAGTTCAGGTACTCGGAATCGGTACACGTGCGCTGGACCCCGCCGGAAGTTAACACGAACTATGGGGGTTAGGACGACCCGTGATTTCTTTTTGGAATTGCGAAAAAGATAACGGTTTCTCTGAGAAATTGTTAAATTGATTTGATAATATGTAAACTGAAGTGAAAACCTTTGAACCCTCGCGATCATTAACCCTTTGCGCTCCAGAGGCTGTCACCAAATGACTTGACACAGCAAAACTGCAAACTTTGATATTTAATATTAAAGTTTTTTATGATGCATCAACGTACGAGATATTGAAAGAAAATAGTTCTCAATGCATTTGAGATTTCTTAATTAGATCCGAGAAAATGTCATCCGTATCTCATTAGGAAATATTGAATGTGGGAGTTATTAAAGAAGTTTAGCAATGTGAAATTGAACCGTGAATCAAAGTCTAAATAGATGCACCGTTGGAGTTTCTATAGAGGAACTTCGGAAAGTTATCTGTTCGGTGGTTTCAGTGTTAACGAGACGTTTTATCGTGACATGTTGTGTTATCAGTGTACGGAATACCGTTGTGGTTTTTCCAAGGAAAATTTCGTTAGGAAATTTCGAAAAGAAATTATTTATGGAGAATATTCTGGTGGCGTTGAGTTTCTCGGAACGAGAGGATCCCCGAATTGCATGAATATCATTTCCTTCGATGCTAGGAAATGACGAAATACAGAGAGACGATTAATCAGTCGGTTTTCCTGAGTCGAAGGTGTTCTCTTTATTCACGTCGCGCAGCAGTTTTGTCGCGAGGACTCCGATACGCATAAATGACTCATCGTTAATGGTTCAGATAAGAATCTTTCTTGGGCGAGATAAGATACAGCGACGCTTCCAAAAATTCGAGGATTATCAGCTCCAGAGAGTGAAACTCTTCGCTCCGCCTTCCTTCCTTCCATTCCTAAATAATGCTTCCTCGAATAAACAGATTTGTTTATGCAAGAAACGTCTAATATATTTGTTAAAAATAGAGGATACACGATAACATGATTCAACCGAGTTCAACCTCTTCAAGGTCGAATCTCTCTTGGAACAGTTTATATTGTTTAACCCTTTGCACCTGGTTTTCCACTAGAAATATTTTCACATTTTCTTTTGAGATGAAAATATTTCAATATTTCTCAAATCGATGCATTATGCGAAGTGTAATATTAAATATCAAATTTTATAGTTTTGTATGACATCAAATGGTGAGTGAAGGTCAACTCTCGAGTAAAGGGTTAAATCGGTATAAATTAAACAATATAGAAGCAGTCGAAAATAATTGTGCATAATTAGTAGAAAAGATGTCCATTATTCTTCGATGTCGAATTAAAATTAAATGTACGCGTGTGTTATCCTTGAAGAGGTTAAGTGTATACTCGGTGAATCGGTCACGTGACAGTCGCGGGAAACACACGGGAACTTCCGTGGCGCCATTAGCTTGCGAAATCCATCCAACACAGGCGAACGGTGTTCCCATTGTTGAGATCTTCTTGCCCTTATGGTTCTCGTTTAGATTTTTTCCACGGTTCACCGTGTCCGTGAAGCTTGACCTCGAAAGGACATCGTATAAGGCGAACGACCTTTAACACGTGACCCACGAGGGTCACCGGGGACCTCGACCAAATCGAATTACTATAGTTCGTTCGATTAAACTATGATTACTTGAAAACTTTTCTATATTATAAACAATGTAATTATGTAATTCAATTACATAAGTTATATTAGATTATTTTCTATATTTTCCTCGGCAAAATCGTGCGGCTCTCTTAACCCTTTGCACTCGAGAGGTGACTGTCATTTGATTTCATACAAAACTGTAAAATTTGATATTTAATATTATACGAAGTATAATGTATCAATTTTTCTAGTCAAAAATCTCCGAGTGCAAAGGGTTAACCCTTTGAACTCTGTAGGCTCGAATATTGCACCAGGAATGATATTAGATATTTGAATGAATCTTAACACTATGTTTACGGACGTTTATTGTTCGGTTTATTCTATTGTTCCTGGAAAAATTGATGTTCGACCACTTAGATCTTGGAAATCAGGGATTTAAAATTAGGTTATTACGATACGTATTCTTGTAACTGCATCAACCAAAACCGACATAAACGTTTGCCAAGTAATGTTTATAAATTCAGTATGCGTCAAATTGACGCACTCCGTGAACCTAGTGTTAAAGAAACTACCCTACAATCATTATTTTTTTCACGCATCAATATTTTGCACTAAGAAGGGAAATAAAGGATCTAAGAAATGTTACAGCATTTTTCATTTTCGCTAGGGATACTATAAAAATTAGTTGCAGTTGCCGATAGATTACAAAACCATCTGGAGTGCTAAGGGTTAAATCTGTATCGGGGTTCGTTGGCCTCTGACCACGTGGCCGTCCTAAAAAATCGGTACGCCGCGTCCTTCGTCGGACGACGATAGCGATACGCTTCCGTGGCATTGGAGAAACGTATCAGCATAATCGAAGGGACACGGAGAAATAAAGAAAAGTCGATTGACAAATTCGTTTGCAATATTGACATTTCACTGGGGCAAACGAATAAATCGCTGAACGTCACGTGCAGATAGGGGGAAAACAAACGCGACGATTCAAACTGTTTTGTAGCGGCGCGGTCATTGTTTAATTATCAACGAAGCAACAAAAAAAAAGAAAGAAAGAAAAAGGTCGACGCTCATTGCGCAGCAGTTCAGTATCGAAAGTCCCAGATGTAACGAAAACTTGAGTCACGCAGTGTTCTTGAGGCGCGTCAACTCGGCATCGTTATTTTTCTTCTTTTTTTTTCCGTAAGCCATCTGTAAATTTTCGTGACAAGTATATGGAGCTTGCGGATGCAGTAATTACGTGTCTTGTAAACCAGACAACCTTTGATATTACTTAATCTCGTAAATCGCAGGACTTTAACGGAGCGTGTTTTCGCAGAAAGAAATGTATCGCTTTCGGGACGATTATCAAGATGCCGGTGAATAATCGGTTTTATCTTATATGCAAGTTATGGCATGACGAAACACGAAAATCAGAATGAAGTAGGAGATAATGAGAATAAAAGAATGGGGAGTATTAAAGAGAAAATAGGAAGAAATCTGGAAAAGTCGATCACCGATCTCTGACGCTAAATTACTTGAAAATATTAAAAAAAATTTGATGTCGAACCAAAATGTTCAATAACGTTACTAAGTTGGTAATAATGTAATGCAAAGATTGTAACGCCAAATAGTGAACCGTTGCTATTTTTCATTGCTGGAAGGACAACCGTACAGAAAAATGGTCGACTTTCGTGGCGCTTAACGTGTTAACGCTGGTACCACCGATTATTAAAAAAAATATCAGATGCTTATCCGGGTGTTATTGAAGAAATCGATTTGGCAATATGCAAATTGAATCAATTAAAGTCTCAATAGATGCACTCTCGAAGTTTCTATAGAGAAGCTTCAAAAAGTCAATTTCAGTACTCGGTAGTTCCAGTGTTAACACTAGGTTTACAAGCATTTATTGTACACTTCATTCTATTATTCCTAAAAGAATTAATGCTCGTTTATTTAGATTGTAGAAATTAGAAAATTTGATAGTAGGTAATTGGGGTACATGTGAGCGTGATTTACACCATAATAAAAATCGGGTTAAACATTTACAAAATAATGTTTCTAAAATCCAATATGCGTCAATTCCATGCGTTCCGTAAACCTAGTGTTAAGGGCGAGGTTCATCGGGCTCGAACTCGCACACCCTGTACATCGAGGCGTCTGTTTATTTACACACTGCCGCGGTATGGTGACTGGAACTTGCACGCGAGCGAGCCGAATCGAGGACGAAGACGTTCGAAATGAGGAAAAGTAACGGGGCGAGTAACGGGTTGAATTTAACGCATCTTGCCGTTACGAGTTCACGTTTGTCAGCCCAGTCGTTAGGTCAGTGTAGACCGTGCAACAACTGCGACCGGCCCCCACGTGGTTCGTTCTACCGTATTTCGATCACGACAGGCACACTTCCGGTGTAGAGCTAGAGAACGTTCCCTCGATGAAGCGAGGCGAACTTTGCTTCGCCGGTAACAACGGACACCGACGTGACCAGTAATAGTCGCATCCTCTCGCACGATCGAGTTTAGGAACCTCCGCGGGTCTCAGCGTCCGGGAAAACAAAACAGTCATTGCGATTCCTGAAACTGCGTTACCGAGTTCGAGGAAAATCGTGACACCGTCTGCCGCGAACGATCTGATGTAATACGGTTTCCGGAACTCCGCTATCTCCCACTTGTCGGGGAGCGTGGTTTCGTTACGTAAAAAAAGCGGAATAATTCGCTGCCACTGTTACTCAATGCGTACTCGAGAAATTCCGTAGCCTCGAATCAATTGAAGTCGTCGGAAGCCGGATAAACCTGCGTAACGATACGTTGTAGGTATCGTTCCGTAGATACGCGTTGTACCGATCGAGCTTACCCGGTAGATATAGATCGGACCTATGTGCACCTATGATAAACTTTGACTACGTTTAATACTACTACTTTTTTCCTTTCGCAGTTATTGATACCTTGATAGCATTGAATACTCGAACTGATCTTGAAAATAGTTTCACTTGAATAATGAATGTCTGAAGAAATAAAATAATCTATTGCTACAATGTTTATGAAATGCTCGGTACTCCTAGCGTTAAATGCCATGGGGGTCACCGGTGACCCGCCCAAATTGTTCTGCAATTTCCTCAATTAAACGATTATTTGAAAACATTCTTATAGTGTAAATAATGCTGCATAATATGATGACACGCAAGACAAACCTATAACGCAATTTAATTAAATAATTTAATATTCATTTCATTCCGTATATTCTGCTTAAAATCGTGCGGCGTTCAACGAGTTGAACACAGTTCTAAAATAGCATGACAACAACAACAGATACATCAATAACAATATACTCTTCTTGGAATTTTACAGTTGAATAAATTGTCTAAACAGAAAAATTTCATTGCTTACGCATGTTTCGAAAAGAGGCCTTGGGAATGATAGGAAAAAAACGGAAATAGGGAAACCCATGTGAGCACTTACGGGCCACGGTTGCCTTACCATAGAAAATTCCGCGCGCGCCGTTCATCATGTAGATCTCGCGACGGCGCAAGTCGATCGCAGTGGGAGACCGCGAGAACCTTCGTGGGGGTTGTCGCATAGTGGGAGATCTTGGTAGGAGCGGATTAAACCGCAGGAAGTATGGGCGCCAGCGCGTATATACCGGCACTAATGGCGCGTTTCGGCAAACACGCGTTTCAAGCTGCGACGAGCGTTCCGTTCACTCGCGGGTCAAACTTCTGAGCGTGTCTCGAGCACCGCGATGATTCCGTCTAATTTGAGAGTGTGCCGCCAGAGAGCACGCGATCAGTCGAAGGGCTTACGTAAGT